ATCATAGATATATCAATAGTGTAAAGAAGAAGAAAATATTGTTATTTCTTTTTGCATACAAATTTTTAATATTATTGTTCAGATTATTTATTTTTAGAATATTTTTTAGAGAGAATAATACAACGAGATCTATTTGTCGACATACGTGAAAAAAATAATCTAAAAATTAACAAATTTTTAATCTGATGTTATAGCAAAAATTCATAAAAATTTTTTAATTTCTCGTATGAAAAATATGCTGCAAAAATTTTAAAATGTAATTGTTTAACAAAATAAATAGAATCTCTTAAAAATCAGAAAATAAACGTATCAGCTTACGTAAACAGATATAAATAAACTTTTTTCTCATTAGTATATCACTGATATACAATATTATGGCTCAAAGATCAACGTAATACAAACAAATAAGTCAAGTTCTGAGCAAATATATACATATAAATACACGTATGTACGATAACGGTTTTCTTTCTTTATTTAAGAACAATTAATTAAAGCTGTTGTCAAGGAACTTTTTAGTTATCAATTTGGAACAATTTGTCAAAAGATATAGAATATGATTGAGATGATAGAGTTGATATTGAAGCGATGATAAAATGCAACGTTACATACATGCACTCTTAATATTCATAAATTGAATTTTTCTCTTTACGGCAAATACTTTTATCGTTTCTTCATAATAATTATTTATAAAGCTTTAAAAATAATAATAAATATATTTAAAAGTCAGAAATAAAATTTTAAATGTGTTCATTAGAACATGTAAATGTTTTTCGAGCACTATTCGAGTAATGCATCAATTAAAATAGTGGAGAGAATTTTCTCTTAAAATTTACCCTGGAAGAATTTTATCAGAGTTTTTCTGATTAATATTTATCACAATAAAAAATATTAATATGCACATAATAAAATTAAACGAATGTTTTATATCTTATTGCGGTAGATATTAATATTTTTCAAAACTCATAAAATTCTTCCAATACCATATATTGTCCCACGATTACCATGATTTATTTTAGGGTAAATTTTATGAGAAAATCCTCTCTGTGTACATACAAAATATGAACAAATTGAAATATTGTAAAAAATATATTATAATAATAATATTTTATATTTTTTAATATTTTTAATATTATTAAAATATTATTAAAATAAAATACAATTTTATTTGAATTTTTTGAAATATTGCATTTTTAGCGAGACTGTCGAATTTGAGAAAACACATTTTTCAAATCCAAGTCATATAATTGTGAAACAAGTCCTAAATAATTTCAAGTATGCGTTACAACGAGTAGTTGCAAAAAATGTCGGGGTGACAGCGAGGCAACAGGTTTGATAATGAATCGAGCGATAATTTTTTGCAACACTTACGAGGCCGCCTGGTCGCGATGAAGAGAAGATGTCTCGCCAGCATGTCGAAGTGTCGTCGCGACTGAACCAGCCGGGGATCGTGAATCGATTTACAACCGCGCTGCTCCGTCTATCAACAGCTCCGGCGACTCTCTGTCTAGCGACAAGATTTCCTCCCCGTTTTTGCCCCGATAACGTCTTATCGTCATCGCGCCCCTCCAAAAAAAAAAAACCACGATTTCGTTCCGCGGCGAGTCATCCGATCGCGTCATCCGACACGCGACGACGTCCCGAAGAGATGGATCTGTCAAATCTTTTCTTTTTACGGGAAGAATATTTTTCCTGATCTCTCCCAAGAGAAGACGCGATCGGATGTTCCGATCAATTTTCAGTCGACTTTCCGCATTTTGCCAGCCGCGAGTCTCGATCCGAGAGGATTCACAATTTCGCGGACGAAGGACGAGCTTCTCGACTTCGCGATTCGATCGACCGGATCGAAGACGCGCACTGAAGACCCCGGGATGCGCATGAAAGTATTTCAATCCTCGCGGTGGGGATTTTTGTTTATCGACACCCCGGCTATTATCGTGTCGGGATAAATATCACGTCTGATGCAATTCGCGTTGCTTGTTGAGCCAGCAGTTAACGACGCTGATAAGGGCTAAACAAAGTAAAGTCTTTAACTGGGAGAGCTTCGTGGGAGTTTTCCAGCGGCCCGCTAAAGATTTCCTACTCGCCACCCACCCCATTGTGATAATTTCCCTTCTGCATCGTGACAAAGATTTTAAACGTCTCGCGATTTAATTCGAACAAAATAAATAAAAGAGTTCAATTCATTGGAGCTCCAGAGCAATGCACCATTAATTTTAATCTGCCACAGAAAAAAAAGAATTAGCTAAATTTTAGCTATGACAGCAGATATTTGTTTGGTAGCTAATTCTTTTTTCCGTGTGCAATATAGACTGATTTCAAGAAATAATAATTATTGCATTTTTTAAATAAAATAATTTGTTGAAATGAATTTGAAAAGAAAATTGAACGAAGAAAATTTTTGATGTTTCTCCAAAAGTCGATCATCATAGATTGTCAGAGTCGTTCGATCTTGTCGAGCGCGTTCTGCGATAAAAATTCCTCGATGAAACTGTTGAACTCTAAAATATTCCATACACAAAGAGTGTCGTTTGACGACAGAGAAGTCGGCGTTTTATCTCGTCAGAATAAATGAAATACACCCTGGGGATCGCGTCTCCCGATTGTGAAGAACGAACGCAAGTGTCAGAGATAAGAGAAAACGTGACCGGTAATGCGTGTTTCCCTATCCGTATCTTTGTTTGCGTACAAAAATATAGCCGATCTTGCTATCGTGGCCAGCCGGCGCGTTCGTCTTCGAGACGATTCGCGGGAGTGACACACTAAAGTGCTCCGATCTGCCGATTCCTCTTTTGCATAATAATGCGCGTGCAATATCGGCGCTGCGCCTCTCGATATCTCCCCTGCGACTTCTCGCTCCAATTCTATCTGATTAGACCTTGATGATTCCCTCGCATCCTCCGATCTATTTTACGCGATGATCGTGCTGTTATTTAACAAAACGAAGTATCAACATCTCGACGCGTGGAAATCGTTCTTCGAAGAGTTATCGCGCCGAAGCGGACCTCTGATGGCAAAAACGCCGATTTTCGAGATATCGTGTCAAGCTTGTTGTATTACAAAGACTTGCACGTTATATATTCTGGTCTCGAGAGACAAACAATATTCCAATTATCTAACAATTATAATATTTCTACTCAAAGCATTCTTTTTTTTTTTTTTTTGAAAATGTCGATATATTTACCAATATTAAAACTAAATTAAAATGTGGAATCACGAAAAAAATTAGCTACCATAGTTCAGTTTTAGCTGTTCCTATATTATACATGAAATTTAATCATCATGCCTAAATTTTAACAATGATAATTAATATTTAGGCATGATAACTAAATTTTAATGTGTATAATATAGGGACAGCTAAAATTGTGTTAATTTTTTTTTCATGATACAAAAAACTTTTTGCGAATAAAAATATTAATTTTCCAAATAAAACGTTTGTTATATAAAAACAATTTATATCCCGTCATGATTTATGTATAAACTTTTATTTTCTTCGAAAATAATATATATGAAAGAGCAAGTTAAATTAATTTTTAAGATATATAACATAAAATTTTCAAGATATATATTTAACTAATTTTAAAAATATATTTAGCTAAAAAAAAAAAAAAATAATTGTGAGTCATTGTTCTGATAGAAAAATGGACTGTAGAACTACATTCTAGTACATATGAACTCATCAGTGTCGAGAGGAATACATGACATTATCACACTCTCCAAGAGTGTTTAATAATCATTTCCGATTAAACCCGACGTTCGCATCCATTTGTTTTTCTAAGCGCGACTTGATTTATGCCAGAGCTCGCAGTCTATCATCTCGCTTCGTATCATTCGCATTTTAAAACTGGCACTTCATATGTTATCGCAACATTCTTCAGATTTCTACATCCGTTAACAAATTATTAAAATACTTTAATCATTTCAAAATTTAATTGAGCTTAAGCTTTAAAATCTAAAGTCCTTGATTTCGTCAACCTTGATAAGATAGAATCAAGTTGTTCATTTCCTTATTCTATCTTTATATCGCTATATTGCAAAAAAAAAATTGCTGAATTGATAACGCGTTAGCGTTTTCTACCAGATTTCCGTATCGTTACCAGAATACTTGAGCACTCTAGCTGGTTCTAAGTCCAAAGCCCTCGGTCTAGGACTAGCCGGCAGTGATTTGATGGATATGGGAGAAGTCGTTAACTTCGTTTCGAAGGTCACATTGCTATTGACTTGAGGTTCCGGACTAGAGACCGTTTCGGGATAGTTGATCCTCTCTCTCAGCAGCTCTTCCTGGAGCTCCTCGGAGGGCGTCCTGCAGATCTTGGACGACTTTTCCGCTTGGCTACTCGCGGAGAATTTCTTAATGAACATGATCGGACTGTTAGCCATGCGATAGCTCTCGCTACGTTTCACCTTGCGATCCCCAGATCGCGTCTGATCGGACTTTTTTTTCGCACTCTGATCATCTAATTCCGCGGAATCAGTCGTCACGTTTTTATCGCTGGTTTCCGAATTATTCACCGTACTCTCTTCGATTTTATTTGAACTGTCATGATCGGATCTCTTTCTACAGAAGTTCGGAGTATCGAGATCCGAGACCAATAATTTTTTACCTAACTTAGGCGTGTTGCCGGTCACTTTCGTAGTCTTCGCGTAGAGACCCGATTTCTCCAAGTCTACTCGCGAATTCGCAGAATTCAGGGCAATAGGACCTTGGTTGACCTTGGACGGAGCGATCGCGCGAGCATCGCCATTGTGCGCCGGTGAATAGTTTTCATCCTGATCGGATTTGCGCTTCGTTTGCCTGTCTACCTGCGACTCGCCGTAATTAACCCCTTTATCTACCAGACCGTCCGATTTGTTGCTCGACGCAAGAGCGGGAATCAGACTGGCGGACTGTCTGTTCTCGTCGTTAATGCGCGACGATGCGGGAGTGATCGCAGTGCGTGGTGCTTCTAATCTATCGGTGCGGCCAGTGCAATCGCGGTGCTCGTCAGTGCTGGACGTCTTACCTTCGTCGCCTTGCACGTTGACGTAAGCCCCGCGGAACTGTCTGTGGGGACTGGTGGGGTTCGTGGGACCGACCACGGTCGCCGGCGTGCGCACGTAATCCGGACTGGCCGCGCGATCCGGACTCCGCGCCGCTCGAATGATCAGCTTGCCCAGCTGGGGCGACGTCGGCGGCGTGGACGCCCGAGCGTTCGGGCCGTCCGCGACGTCGCAGCTCTTCGTCACGGCGCGGACATTCGGCATCGCGCGACGCAGCAACGGCGAAGGGCTGGGTGACGCTTCTTCCCTCACGAAAGGACCTGGAAAGCGAAACGACCACATTTTTTATTATTATATTATCCATTTTTTCTATTTTTTCTATTATTATGTCTATTATATCTATTATTATTATTATTTATGAAGATATATTTATATATGAAGATATATTTATGAAGATATATGAAAATGAGATTATGAAGGTATATTTATGAAGATATAGAAAAGATTATATGAAGGTATAATTATGAAGATATAGGAAAATATACAAGAGATTATGAAGATATATTTATGAAGATATATGAAAATATAGAAGAAATTATGAAGGTATATTTATGAAGATATATGAAGATATAGAAGATATTATATGAAGGTATAATTATGAAGATATAGGAAGATATAGAAGAGATTATGAAGATATATTTATGAAGATATGTGAAGATATAGAAGAGATTATGAAGATATAGGTATTTATGAAGATTTAGAAAAATCTGTGAGCTCGAAGATTTTGATTAGGCAATGAATTGCACTGAATGATTAAAATAACATGCCTGGATTGAAGGTGGTGTGCGCTCCTTTCCTCCTCTTCAAGCTATCGGACGAGTAGACGACTTTGCCTTCGGAATCCAAGGTGACTCGGGCGCCCTGTCTCTTCCTCTCCAAGGACGAGTCCGGTTTCTTTGGCAGTTCGCTTAGACTCACATACTCCGCGTCTTTCTTGAAGATGTCGGAATTGGCGTAGGTAACGGTAGGTCGGAGAGCGGTCATGCCTGACGACGACGATGACGATGACGATGACGAAGATGGGGGTGGACCCGCGGGACGCTTGTCGTTGTTGTTCCTCACGTCGGCTATGGTCACATAGTCGCCGGAGTCTGCGTTCGAAAGCTCCTGCACGGCACTGTTCTTCGTGGCGTGCTTCTTACCCGGAAGCACGCCGCGAAGCTTGCCCAGGACACCGCTCAGCGGACTGATCTTGATCGACGACGACTGGCTCATCGTCGGTCTGTCGTTGCTGGCGATCGCTGGCAACACCTGCACGGTGGCGTAGAGGTTCTTGTCCTGGCCGTTGATCACCTCCATCTTGGAGGTGCCAACGGTGGCGGACATCAGCACCGATCCGCCACTTTGTAGACTGATTCTCCTGGCCGACTCGCTCGTCTTTTTCTCGCACTGCTCCGTCTCTCTCGCGTGCTCGTCGTCGGACACGGGCGGCGTGATTACGCACATCGAGGGAATTCGGCTGGTCGTGATCGCCGTCTTCGAGCGGATTCTCTCGATTCGCTCGCAACCCTCTAGATCGCTGGACTCCGAGTATTCGAACTCGGAGCAGGATCGACCGGTGCAGGCAGGACTCGAGGCAGACTCCACGGGAGACGAAGATGTATTGTGACCGCTGTCGGGCGACTCGCCGCCGTTTTGATTTTGTCCGTGAACCTGTCAAATTAAATTCAAATAGATTAATAAATGTTAGAACTGAGAAATATTAGAAGAATATTGGAATTGATTATTAAAATTATTTAATAGAATTTTTATACATATATGAATATTATTTTGTCTACGAAAATATAGAAATTGTTATTTAATTCTTTAAATTATTAATATCTTATTTTCATAATTATATAAACAATTATTTAAATAATTATAATAATTATTTATATAATATTATATATACATATATATATATATAATTATTTAAATTATTTAATATTAATTTTCCATTTGATATTAATTACTTTTTCATTGGGAAAATATTCAATTTGATTCGCTCAATTGAATATTTTGTCAGAGCTAGAATATGAAAGTTTAAACTTACCATAGCGACAACCGTGAGGCTAGATTTGCGTTCTGGAGGCGGTGGTGCCATAAGCGCGGTGCAAACCGTTCCGGCTGAACTAGTCGTAGTAGAAGTTGATCCTCTGCCGAATAGTTCGTATTCGTTCTCGACAATTGGCGAGGTAGGGTCTGAACCGATGTCATTAGATTTGGTTAAAGGACTCTGCGGTAACGGTTCCTCCTCCCTGAGCGTTTTCAGACCTGAATCCATGTGAAACGAGGTATAATATCCCTCCGTGTCGCAGGAATACACCGACGACGTCTCACCGTCGTCGGAGAAAGGCACCACCGTGATATCCTGTATAATATCCGGGGTTAAGGTACCTTCGGAGGTTACCGAGGATGAGGCCGACATGTCTCTTCCCTTGAGTCGCCTCATGTGATTTAGGGAAGTCGAGGACGTGCCAATCGAAGCTGTCGTCGTGGATCTGAAATAATGTATTATAAATTAAAAAAAAATGCTTTAGTCACAACATGTGAGAAAATCAGCTGATTTTACCGGAATTCAATCTAGGATTTTATATATAGGTTCAAAAACGTACTAATCATATAAAATTAAATCTTGGCAAGATCAGCTGTTTTTCTCATATATTATAGTTTATGAATTGCCGAACAAAAATGTAATAGGCTAAATAATAGACAGTTACAGTAAAAGAATTAGTTACCATAGCTAAATTTTAGTTATGTCCATATATTACAACTTGAAATTTAGTTATCATGCCTAAATTTGGTAACTAATATTTTTTAGCCATAGTTTAACGGAGAATGTTATAGCTAAAAAATATTAGCTGTCATAGTTAAAAGGCATGATAACTGAAATTCTTTTTTTCCCGTGGCAACATACAAAAAAAAGTAAAAATCCTATGTATATTTGGTACTTTAGATAATTTTCTTAATACATTATAAGGGTGTCGAAATTCAAACACGGAGTTTCGTCTTGAAAATAATCAAAAGTTCATGGAAAAAAAAAGAATTAGCTATACCATAGCTAAATTTTAGCTATCCATATATTACACATGAAATTTACTTATCATGCCTAAATGTTAGCTATGACAGCTAATATTTTTTAGCTGTAACATTCTCCGTTAAACTATGGCTAGAGCTAAAATTTAACTATAGCAGCTAATTCTTTTTTAAGTATCTGATCTTTTAGATAATTTTCCTAATAAATGACAAGGGTGTCGAAATTGAAACACGGAGCTTCGTCTTGATAATGAAAAGTTCGTTAGATCCTCCTCGGGTCTTACCTGGGCTGATGCGTCGTAGTGGTGGTCTCGCTGGCAATGCTGGCCCTTCCGCTCTCGGACGAGGCGCTCCAGTTCCCGGAGCTCGAGTGCGGAGCGTCGTCCCGGTTGCTGCCCTTCCGCCGTTCTCTCCTCTGAGCCGCGCTCTCGCGCAATTTCACGCTCGGCTGTCTGTTCTCCGTGCTCGGCACCGACACCGGTATGCTCGCCGTGCTCTTGCCGGAGGAGCTGGACGAGCTGGGCTTCCTCTCGTGCGATTTATCTCTCCTACGTCGCGCGGTCACCGTCTCGTAGATGTTGATCTCCTCGGGCGATCTCGTTTGACCTTGAGCGGCTTGCTCGCCTGATCTCTCGCTGGTCCCGCCGATCGGCGTCGGCGTCTCTTGCTGCTGATTCGACTTCGGACTGATCAGCTTCAATCTGGACCTGCCCCAAGCTTTCAGCGTGTTGAAGTGCGACTTCTTTTCCGTTGGGGAGTCCTTCTTCGTGGCGCCCAGGAGGTCCGTGCTGGCTGAGCGATGAGCTCTCGACGCGGCGCTTGGCATCGTTTCCTCGGGCTCGTCGCCAATCGTCTCCCTGTCGGCGATAAATAATCCCTCTCTCAACGACGCGTACATGATGTAGGAGTGCTGTAGCGATTTTCGCATTTTTATAATGTATAGAAGCTAAAGGGGAGATTATTGCGCGAGAGATCGCGGCGTGATTAATTGGATGATTCGCGGTGCGGGCTTTCGCGACGGATTTATCGTCCGCGTGGATTTCAATTTGATAGTCGAGTTGGCAGGGATCTTATTGTTGATATTATAAGTGGGTAATAAACATAGTATATATTAATCAATTATATTATATTCTAGAATTTTATTTTTTATTCAAATATTATATTTTAAAGCGCTATCTGGTGAATGAAAAACAAATATCACGTTACAGTTGATAACTGGGTATAATATTTCGAAAAAAATATTATTTAATTATTGGCTAGTAAATGATAGAAAAATCTTGATTGGAAAAACCAGATAGATTTTAGGTATTGGCCAGTTTTTTACAGAAATGTTTCTACTCGAGTTGTGGTAATAAACATAGTATATATTAATCAATTATTATATTCTAGAATTTGTCTATTTTTTATTCGAATATTATATTTTAAAGCGCTATCTGGTGAATGAAAAACAAATATCACGTTACAGTTGATAACTGGGTATAATATTTCGAAAAAAATATTATTTAATTATTGGCTAGTAAATGATAGAAAAATCTTGATTGGAAAAACCAGATAGATTTTAGGTATTGGCCAGTTTTTTACAGAAATGTTTCCACTCGAGTTGTGGGAGGTCCTCGATCGAGATTGCGATTTCGCGCGACAACGATACCGAGATGATCCGCGAGTATTATCGCGGCGATGGAAGGTACGAAGCTAGAGTTACCGGAGATTCTTCGTGCTTGGACGACTGCGAAAATATGAGTGAGCTTTATCGAGCGTGACAAATCGCCGTCTCTTTTCGAGGTACCCATAGATCTCCGGAACCGCGCGTCCATCTCTACTAGTTAACAAAATTGCTATACGCGATAAGACGAGGGCAAAATATATGTATATTCTCTCTCCTCTCTCTTATATCATATTTATTATGTCGTAAAAGTTGGAAGGACGAAACACCCGGTGGGGACGATTTATTCCATTAAATATCTGCGTATATTATGGACACTTTTTATTCTATATACTTAACATGTTTTTATTGCTTTTTTTAGACAGATTTTTTGTCTATTATATTTATCTTGTATATTGTATATTTTGCATATATTTCTCACTGCAAAAAGATTATTGAATGCAAATAAGTAGGTATTTATTTCAATAGTGCATTAAAATTTATTTGGAAGATATATAATTTATGCGTGAAAAATACTTATTTGATAGAAGAAAATCCTTTTCAAAACAGATCAATATATATTTTTTAAATAAATTATTTATAAGACAGTATTGAAATAAATATTTATCAATTTAATAATTTTTTTCAGTGCTTGAATCGCCTCATGTTCACTAAATGATACATAATGGTGCTTTTTAAAGCAATATTTTAATTAATAAATAATTATAGATACACGAAGAGAATTTATTTCTTAAAATTTATTCTGAAAATCATGGGACAATATGGAATTGGAAGAATTTTATAAGTTTCTCTAATTAATATCTTTACTACAATAAAAAATATTAATATCTATTACAATAAGATATAAAATATGTTCGATTAATTTCACTTCGATTAATATTTTTTAATGTAATAAATATTAATCAGAGAAATTCTTATAAAATTTTTCCAATATTATATTGTCCCACGATACCATAATTTTCAGGATAAATCTTAAGAGAAAAACCACTCTCTGTGTATTAAACATAGAAAAAAAGCTCTTAAAAATATTTTGATTAAGAATCGCAGAATATGATAAATACTAACCCTCCAATTTTATAAGAGTTTCTTTGATTAATATTTACCACAATAAAAAATACATATCAATATTTTTTTATTGTGGTAAATATCAATCAGAGAAACTTTTGTAAACTTCTTCCAATACTTTATCCCACGATTATCATGATTTTTAGGGTAAATTCTAAGAAAACATTCTTAATAAAAATTATTAATAATATTATAATATTTATTATATAATATTATTATTAATATTATTAATCCTCTCAATTCTTCCATTACCACTGTTTTACAATTATCACGATTTTCAGGGTAAATTCTAAGAGAAAATTCTCTCTGTATATTAAACATAGAAAAAAGCTCTTTCAGAATATTTTGATTAAGAATTGCAGGATATGATAAGTACTAACCCTCCAATAGCTTGTCGAATCTCTTTCTGATCGGTGCCAGCAATCGTGTTTCGTCTCTTTCCTCTTGGTCTGCGAGGTCGCGATCTCCTTTTCACCGCCGTTTCCTGAGTTTCTGGCCCTGACAGCAAGGACTTCCTTCTCATCGACATTCTTGCGAAACCTCGTCCGCTCACATCCACCGCCACGATTTCCGCCGGGAATCTACGATGAAAGGATCGTACATTTCGAAATCACAATGAAGCAGGATCATCAATCTGTCATGGGGTACAAAAACTGAATGTGGATCGGGCAAAGGACATATCAAACTACATAAAGGAGACAGACTTTTGGCTTCTACAGACTTATTATATCCGCGAATGGCGTGAATTACACTGTAAAAAAATATGTAATATATTACACAAAAATATGTAAAATTACATAAATAATAAGTGTAAAATTACACGATAAATAATAAAAATGTTTACCTTTTCATTATTTATCATGTAATTTTACATTTATTATTTATGTAATTTTACATATTTTTTACAGTGTATAGAAACATATCTGTAAGATTTTGCATCCTAATTTTAAATTTCTTATGAATAATTTAAGAAAACAGCATTTCGATTCTTTAATTTTTTTTAAGTAAAATCAATGTGAGATATTTCGAAGGTGATATAATTTCCTTGTTTTATACAGTCGATATTGCGTTATATTTTAATAATTTGTAATATATGTTTAATTTTCTCCCTAAATTATATAAATAATAATAATAATTAATAATAATATAATAATAATTTTAATAATTATATAATTAACACGCAAACATTTTTTAATATCCTTTCAAATGATCAATCATTGAGCATAATTTCGATCGACGTAACTAGATGGACCTTTCTTTATTTTCACGTTTCTCTCGACGATCTAATGCATCCAATAATGTATTGAGATAAACCGCTTACTTGAGCGCGATAGCCTGAACCTGTTCCTCGGGGCTGGGTAGCTTGTGATCGACGGCATCGCTGGTCATGTCGCCCAGAATCCTGGACGAACAGTCCGGAGGTACGGTGACGTCGCCGAGCGCCTCGGCGGATGTCCATCTTCGTAGATCCTCGATAGCAGCCGGCTGCAACAGCGTAAAATAACACGCGCAATAAAGTCGCCGCCCTCTCTCTATAAAGGTATACCTTCTTTTGCACGGTCTGTTACGCTATTCTGTATAATTACCCGTAAATATCGCCCAACTTATCTCTTTGAAGAAAGGAAATGCATATCACAGAGATTTCAATAAGTCTCATAAAATATATATTTATTATAACAACATTTTTAATATAATCATAAAAAATCAATAACTAATATTTAAAGTTTAATATTTTTTTTCCTCACTATTGATAATACTTTATGTAAAAAAAATATTGTGAAGAAAAAAATAAATAATGGAACATTTCTTTTTTTCCATCAAGAAATATACTCTTTAAATATTAATTATTCATTTTTCATGATTTATAAATATGTTATTAAATATATATAAATTTATTTTATATGTATGAAATATTATAAATATAACTTTCGTTATATTATTTCAAAATTGAGCTGAATTAAATAAATAATTAATTAATTAAATAGCTAAATATAGTTATAATAATTATCTAGTGCTTGAAAAAATGCAGTATGTTTTTTTATGCCACCGTAAAAAAAATATGCCAATTTGTACGTGTTTGCCTGATGTTGTTACACGACTTGGCGTGTAACAAATGATTCTTTCCTTTCTTCCTTCCGTGGGTCACCTCTTGTGATTCACCTCGCGGGAAACTCGACGCCGGAGGAAGAAGAAGAGCGAGCGAGATATTTTACGCGCGTGGGTGTTAACTATTGTCGTGATGTCACCTCGTCGGCGAGTTTCATGCGCGAAATACGGAACGGATCGAGTTCCAAGCGTCTGCTAACTTTTCCACACGATGCACTCACCCTTGTTCACGACCGGTCCGTGAAAACGACCGTATCGCTATTGTTAGGATCTTAATTTCGCGTGTCTCCGAGAAGTAGAAGAGAGAGAAAGTAAGGCCAAAAAGAAGAAAAAAAATTATAAAACTATTTACATTATTTCAACTGAACTGTAAGTCTTATAGAATCGAGGCGCGAAATATAAATTTAAAGTGTGTGAACTAATAAAAAAAATCATATCTGAATTTTAGCTAATATTTTTTAGCTACAGTTTAACGGAGAATTCTGTAGCTAAAAAATATTAGCTAAAATTTAGACACGATAATTTATGTGTAATGTAGGGACAGCTATAGTAGCTAATTATTTTTTCCGTGAAACGTATAATTTGGGTTGTTTATAAGATAATAGCTGTTTTAATAAACAAAAAAAAATATGTACCTAATTAAATTTATTAATGTATCAATCAATTTATCTCGAAAGTCATCTTATCTTCAAAGAGATAAGATCATTTTTAACTCTTCTACATTCTTCAGCTTATTAAGAGTACTTAATTACTGTCATGTTGTAATTATATCGTAAATGACAATCTTCGTGTTTGATGTGAACCGGTTTAAATGTCAGTTCAAGTTCAGGGAAAAAAAATTAACCATCACTTGCGATTAACAAATGGGGAAAAAGCGTTTCTCGGGAAATTAGTAAACTGTTTCAAAGAAACGCAGTTCGACCGTAAAAATTCTTCAATTACACGGTGAAAGTTAATTACGTCGAATTAAGTAGGCAAGGGGGTCAGATTTGATTCTACCTGACATTTCAAAGCTAATATCTTAGGTCGAGTGTTATTAAAACTGACTAGGATCTTTCTCTCTCTTTCTTTGTGTTCAGTCACTCGTTACCAACCAAAGTTTTAACGATATTAAATTTCTTCCGCATTTCGCAAAGTTAATGAGAACAGTGTAATCTCAGCGATAAAAACAAGTTATGTAATTCATTAGAAAAAATATTCGTATAAATGCCTGTGTACGTTTTTTCACTTTAAGTTAGGTTAGGTTCATTTTTTATTGAATATACAGATTGAAAAATCCTCCCCAATGAAAGTACTGATGACATGAAATTCTTTCATATCATCTCTATTGGGAACGCCATATTTTGTGCATAAATAAACTGCAGAACTTTTGTATTAAATAAGTATAGTTATGAGCTGATGTAAGAGGCCGATAAAAAAAACTGTAATTTTTTAACTTTTGTTTTTTTTTTTAATACGAAATTACAGCACTCCTCGTTCATTATTACGAGTACTTTAATTGTGGAGAAGAATTGCTCAATCTGTATAGTCAATATAAAGAAAATCCCTTGAATTCAAAGTCGATAAAACAGTCATGGTCAGCATCCCCTTAATTTATTTGGTCTGAAATGGAGCGCAGAAGTTGAGACGAGTATCAACTGGTGGAATGTACCGTAACGCGTTGTCATAGAAAGTTAGATAGAAGAGGGTAACTTACGATTCTGGACTCGATGTCGAGACTGTGATCCCGTCGTCTCTTCCCAAGAACGGGAGTACAGAGGAACATATCCATCGAGCTGCCGTCCCTCCTCAAGGAATCCAAACTTCGGACGGCAACTATAGCAGCGAGCTCGTAGAGCTCCCTCAGGGCTCTCGGCCTCGTGTCCGCCGTGAACAACCTCGTCGATGGTTTATTCGTGACGTGAAAATGTTCCGTCCTCGCCGCGAAAGTGCAGATATCCGATTCCGCTGTAACACCAAGAGAACGAGGTTTAACTATCGGCTTGTCGCCAAAGGAGCAAAATATCGATTTCATAGATCGTTACGGGTATGTGTGTGTGTGTGTGTGTGTGTAGCCACGTGTTTATATAATTTCCATATCTTACCCCCGAGACATCGCGCGTAATGAGAGTATCAATCTCTTGCGTTTGTGTAATTTCCATATCTTATCTCCAAGACATCGCAAGTAATCAATCCTTTTTGAGATTATTTCGTCTCTATATATTTAATTAATTATCCCTATTTTTAGATCATTTTTTAATACTTATATTATAATTATTTTTTAACAATTATATTATATTATATTGTATATATTGTATATATTGTATATTAAAAATGATCTAAAAATAGAATTATAATATATAAGCTAATTACAAATTATGAGTGTGAATGTTTCCTTAATTTTATGATTAAATACACGAATATAGATATGTGCTTCTGTCAAAATTTTGAGAAATATAAATTAAAAAAAAAAATGTTATATTATGAGGACAATTCGCGATTGCATTCCCGTGGAGTAAATATTTGCGTGCGTTATTTTCTAGAAAAAAAAACCAGGAAGAAGATTTATCGTGATAAATAAAAAAAAAAACGGTCCAGTGACGAGCGGGAAAAAGAATGTCTCGCGCGCCTCGTTTGAAATTTAAGAGGCGTTCACGAGACGCGTCTTTTTTCTCCCATGGCCGTCCCATAATGCGGCATTTTAAAGTCCGTAATATACTTTTTGCCGGTCATGTGTGGCGGGTGATATCACGCCGCTGACATATCTTAACTGTAAACATGTTCCATTCACGGTTTCTTGCACCGCATCGCATGCAGGCGCACAGGAATCAGTAAAAAAGCTCAACTCATGCCACCCGCGCTTCGAGGGGCACGCTTGATTCGACGTTTCCGGTTGTTTTCAGAAACGGTTTCTTCCGTGACGCCGGGGCCTTAATTTCCGACAATGAGGCCCTTCCTAATGTTTTCAATTACACGCCTCGGGACAATGATCTCACGCGTACGAATTATGAAATAACTATTTATTTGAAAAACAACTCGCACTCTGAACAAAAATTTATTTCATTCGAACACGGAAAAAAAAATTAGCTAAATTTTAGCTGTCCATATATTACACATGAAATTTAGTTATCATGCTTAAATTTTAGCTATGACAACTAATATTTTTTAGCTATAACATTCTCCGTTAAGCTATGGCTAAAAAATATTAGTTACCATAGCTAAAATTTAACTTATGGTAGCTAATTCTTTTTTTCCGTGAACAAGTATTTATTTCAATACTGCCAAATGAATTATAATATAGCTCAATTTTAGCTATGGTAATTCATACTTTTTAGCTATAATTTAACGGAGAATTTTATAACTAAAAAATATTAGCTATCATAGCTAAAATTTGGACATAACTAAATTTTATGTTTAATATAGGGACAGCTAAAATTTAGATATAATAGCTAATTTGTTCCGTGCAGTGTTCCTTTTAATTGGAATATTTTTCTATAATTTATATTTCAGATAATGTTAGAAATATTTTGAATTTTTTTCACAGGAAAAAAAAATTAGCTAAATTTTAGCTTTGGTAATTCATACTTTTTAGCTATAATTTAATGAAAAATTTTATAGCTAAAAATATTAGCTATCATAGATAAAATTTGGACACAACTAAATTGTATGTTTAATATAGCTATAATTGCTAATTTTTTCCTTGCAGTATTTTTTTTAATTGAAATTTTTTTCTATAATTTATATTTCAGATAATATTAGAAATATTTTGAATTTTTTTCACGGAAAAAATTTATAGCTAAATTTTAGCTTTGGTAATTAATATTTTTTAGCTATAATTTAACGGAGAATTTTATAACTAAAAAATATTAATAAATTTGATAAAAGGTTGTTAAGAGCACTTATGTTTAATTCTTTTTTGTCACCTTTTATTGTAATTCATTATTACACATTAGATTAAAGAATATTATTTTTATATATGACTTCACTTTTTAACATAATTTAAATTTTTATATTTACTGCTCTTAACAGCCTTTTATCAAATTTATTATAATTTAATAAAAAATATTAGCTAAAATCATAGCTAAAATTTGCACATAACTAAATTTTATGTTTAATATAGGGACAGCTAAAATTTAGCTATAATATAATAGCTAATTTTTCCGTGCAGTGTTCTTTTTAATTGAAATTTTTTCTATAATTTATATTTCAGATAATATTAGAAATATTTAGAAATATATTGATCCTTTTATCCAAGATTCTTTATACACTCACTTATATGTATATCTGAAATATATATGTGAATTAAATGATGGATGAGTCCATATAGTAAAGTCTGACTTGCGTTTTTTTCGCCGACGTAGTCGTCGATCGTGAAAGAACAATGAAATGCCGTAAACACCTTTTATATTCCCCAACAATCAGTTTCGTTATTCAGAGAGATCCTTAATTGCTGACTTTTTTTGGCCAATTTTTCTCGCCCGGCAACGTGTATACGGCGATTTGACAATACACGTTTCTCTCGCCGTACCGAGTGTAGTGCTTCCATTATCGCGTGCTTCTTGTGTTTTATTGTTTTCGTTGTTCGGCTTTTGTTTCGCACAATACCGCGAGGGGGGTTAATCATCATCGACCCGACACGCGATAGGGTTCGTACACCCCTTTAGAATTCCGTCTCGATTCTCCTGCGAATTCGCCGGCATCTAATAACGCTCGATTCGCATGCTCGATTTGCGCTCCGATGCTGTGAAAAGCTATTTCGCAGAATGGCGATCTACCTCGAGTGAAGCTTCGCCTTTTATCACAGGGCGGACTAAAAATTAACTGGAGAACTTCTTGAGAATTATAAAATTTTATAACCTTTCCGTGGTTTTAAAAAATTCATATATTATATATTTATTTTACAAGTTAGTAAAATTTTATATTTTTATAGAGAAATAAAAAAATTGTACGCGCAATCATGGGCGTCTGCGAGAAGGCATTTGCACCCCTTGGAATCAGTAAAAAAATTAAGAATTTGTGCTCCCTTTTTGACACTGGAATTTATTTGCATATTTAATATATAAAAAAAATAAATAAAATTTAAAATAAAATACAAGAAAAATTGTAATCACGCTGAAAATATATTAAAAATAAAATTTGATATATAAATAAGAAAGGTGATTATTTGAAATTATATATTTGGAAAAAATAATCCAAAACAGTCCGAGAGAAAAGATGAATTTCTGGTCTTGGAAAATCTGAAAGTCGGCGAATTTAGAAAAAAAATTAATATATTATATATTTATTTTACAAGTTAGTAAAATTTTATATTTTTATAGAGAAATAAAAAAATTGTACGCGCAATCATGGGCGTCTGCGAGAAGGCATTTGCACCCCTTGGAATCAGTAAAAAAATTAAGAATTTACTCCCTTTTTGACACTGGAATTTATTTGCATATTTAATATATAAAAAAATAAATAAAATTTAAAATAAAATACAAGAAAAATTGTAATCATGCTGAAAATATATTAAAAATAAAATTTGATATATAAATAAGAAAGGTGATCATTTGAAATTATATATTTGGAAAAAATAATCCAAAACAGTCCGAGAGAAAAATGAATTTCTGGTCTTGGAAAATCTGAAAGTCGGCGAATTTAGAAAAAAAATTAATATATTATATATTTATTTTACAAGTTAGTAAAATTTTATATTTTTATAGAGAAATAAAAAAATTGTACGCGCAATCATGGGCGTTTGCGAGAAGGCATTTGCACCCCTTGGAATCAGTAAAAAAATTAAGAATTTACTCCCTTTTTGACACTGGAATTTATTTGCATATTTAATATATAAAAAAAATAAATAAATTTAAAATAAAATACAAGAAAAATTGTAATCATGCTGAAAATATATTAAAAATAAAATTTGATATGATTATTTGAAATTATATATTTGGAAAAAATAATCCAAAACAGTCCGAGAGAAAAGATGAATTTCTGGTCTTGGAAAATCTGAAAAAGTCGGAGAATTTTAGTCCTTGAGTCTGCTGGACACCCTGAGGATGAATAAGATTGACAATGTAGGTTTAGCTAAAAATGTCGATACTCCACGTAATCAGTCCCTCATATCGGCGTGCACGCTCCAAATGGCTTCTGGAATACTTCGGCATTCGCGAGTTAAAGCTAACGGTTCATTACGAGGCAAGGTAGTAATATCGCACGAGTGCTCCGGGCACATTTATGCCACAGTGTATAAACAGAGTGATGCGCGAGAGAGAAAGACCCGCCTGTACTTCGCCGCGCAATCCGATTCGATACAATCGTCCGTGGAGTATTTCTTACTAACCGTCTGTAACCTCGGAAGCCGATACACATAACTACACGGCCTGGTACAATCTTCCGAGCGGACGAGAGCGGAGGATCGACCTTCCATCCTGATGTTCTTGCAATCTCATCGCGAGCGCGAATAATCGAGGCTGAAACCGAAGCTCTCTCTCTCCGTTCCACCACATTTCGGATTCCCAGAAAAAATTGATAGCCTCCTATTCGAACGTTACTTTCTCGAGTTTTTATTCAACCGCAGTCATTGATAAAAATTTTAATTTTTTCATTGAATAAAATCAATTATTTTTAATCGCTAAATGAAAAAAAATTAGTCACCAAAGTTAAATCTTAGCTGCCCCTTGAAATTTAGTTAACACGCTTATAATTTAATAAATAATTCTATAACTAAATATTAGCTATCATAAAATTTTCTCGAAAACAAAACAACTTGTCGCGATCGATAATTATTAAAATCTCAAGTTGCTCCAATTTATACTCAACACAAATCCCTTATAAATATTTATTCATAAGATCAGCTGATCCAATGTCATAAAAAACGTGACTTGAAAACAGATTTTATTTAAACTACACAATGATAGAATGACTCGTAATAGAGCTTACAGGTCGTGTTATTTTATTTCAATGTGTTTAATAGAGATAAAACT